ACTCTGTCGTGTGACCAGCACTGGACCAGTTGCTCTGCGAGTGTGGAGAAGGGACCCTAACTGATAGGGCCTGGGTGGCGGTGTAGCCTAGGGAAGGCCTTTCAAGACAGGGTTCCAGTGCCCTCGAGCGTGCATTTAACAAGGTTGGAGAGGAAGTCCTAGGCTGAAGGCACGGCATGAGCAAAGGCAGGGAGGCAGGAAAGAGCTTGATGAATTGGTGAATTCAAGTCATAGGATGTGTCTGGAACTGGGGTGCAGTGGCCAGGTTGCAGAGGGCCTTGCAAGCCACCACTGACCCTGATTTTACCCAGGGGTATATGGTGCGCTAGAGAAGGGCTTATGCAGAGAATGATGCGATCAGATTTGCATTTCAGAAAGATTTTATTCTGGCTGCCCTGTGCAATCTGGACAGGAGTGGGTAGGAATGGGCACAGAGAGGGTGCAGTGGCTCACGCCTGTAACCCCAGCACTCTGGGAGGCCAAAGTGGGAGGATTGCTTGAGTCCAGGAGTCAAGACCAGCCTGGCCTTCATAGCAAAACCCTATCTCTACGAAAAATAAAAAATTAGCCAAGCATGGTGGTGTACACCTGTAGTCCCTGCTACTCAGGAGGTGAGGTGGAAGGATCGCCCGAGCCTGGGAGGTCGAGGCTACCGTGATGATTGCACCACTACACTCTAGCCTGGGCAACAGAGTGAGACCCAGTCTCAAAAAAAAAAAAAAAAAAAAAAAGAGAGCCTGGAAGCGACAGACCCAGGATCTAAAACGAGGTCAGGCTGCCTTTTTTCATCACTCCAGGAGGCCCCAGCCTGGGCCTGGGGAACTTGGCTTCAACCGGCCTGGAAAGTGACCTTCCAGTGAGCCGATGCTAACTGGCCGCCCCAGTTTACGCTCCCAGTGGACAGAGGTGCGGCTGGCCCAACACTGCCCCCTGGTGGTTAAAAGCAGAAGGCCCCTGAGCATCGCTCAGTTTGGGCCGGGCCTCCTCCCTGCCCGCACACAAGTGTGCTGTCTGGTAGATGGACACAGGTTCACGGCTTACCTCTCCCGCTTCATGTTGTGTGATGTGATAAGTCACTTCCTGCCCTGAGTCTCACTTTCCTCATCTGTAAGCTGGGGATGGTGCTTCCTGCCTCAGCTTGGGCCTGGCACACAGTAGGTATTTGGGCATGGAGCTGGCACCACATTTCCCACCGAGATGCACAAACGTCTGGGCAGCTTTCTCCCAATCCTGGGCCTTCCCTCCACCCCAGGAACCCAGCACCTCACTTTGTCCCACTGTGTGGCCCCCTGCCCCACACTGGCCTTCCCTGCAGGGGCCCAAAGCCATCAACCCTCATCTCCCCCGCTTCAGGGTGGGGACCCCAGTGGCAGCTGACTTGGGTACTGGTTCCAAGTCTTCCACTGGACACAGAGGCTTTGGCCAAGGCACTGCCCCCTGCTGAGCTTCGGTTTCCTGGCCTACAAAATGGGGGTATAAAATGGGGCTATAATCTCTGTCTGCTTCAGGACTTAAAGTGAAGGAGCTGTGCAAACTGTGGAGTGCTGTGCCATGAAGCTCTGGTGAAGACCTACTCTGAGCACTGCCTAGACTTTCTCACAGTGGTGTCCTCTCTGACTTGGGCTCCTTGGGCGTTGAGGTGGGCTGGGGCAGGTGAGCCTTTCCAACAGCCATTGAAACACCCCCACTGGGGCCTGGTGTTGTGGCTCATGCCTATAATTCCAACACTTTGGGAGGCCAAGGTGGGAGGACCACTTCAGGCCAGGAGTTCAAGACCAGTCTGGGCAACATAGTGAGACCCTATTTCTTTTCTTTTCTTCTTTTTTTTTTTTTTGAGACGGAGTCTCACTCTGTCGCCCAGGCTAGAGTGCAGTGATGCGATCTAGGCTCACTGCAAGCTCCACCTCCCGGGTTCACGCCATTCTCCTGTCTCAGCCTCCAAGTAGCTGGGACTACGGGCGCCCGACACCATGCCCGGCTACTTTTTTCTATTTTTTAGTAGAGACGGGGTTTCACCGTGTTAGCCAGGATGGTCTCGGTCTCCTGACCTTGTGATCCGCCCACCACGGCCTGCCAAAGTGCTGGGATTATAGGCATGAGCCACCGCGCCCGGCCGTGAGACCCCATTTCTAAAAAAAATAAAAAAATAATTAGCCAGGTGCAGTGGTGCACACCTGTGGTCCCAGCTACTCAGGAGGCTGAGGCAAAAGGATGATTTGTGCCAGGAGTTCAAGGCTGCAGTGATCTATGACTGGGCCACTGCATTCCAGCCTGAGAAACAGAGTAAGACCCTATCTCAAAAAAAAAAAAAAAAAAAAAAAAAAAAAAAAAAAAAAAAAAAAAAAAAAAAAGAAAAAGAAAAACACGCCAATGGGTCCACGACCTGCTGCCCTCCTCACCTGCCTCTCCCCAAAGACTGTGGTTCTTTTGGCAGCTGCACCATTCATGGATGCGTATATGTATCACATCCAGCGAAGAGATGGACTGGGAAGGGCAGATCCCACCTCCATTATCTGGACAGGTGATTCGTGGGTATTTCCAATTGCCTCATTTTGAGCAAGAGTTTTGATCTGTGGCCTCCTGCCAAGATTTTGCCATTCTTCCCTGACAAACAACACGGCTGTTTTGTAACCAGCATTATAAAATGGTTTTATTAATTATTAATAACTATCTAATGTGTACACAGTTGTCCATGAAGAAGTAGGAAATACCAGTGAGTTGTTACCAGTGTTGCCCAAGGCTGGGAGAGCCCTTCCAGCTTTCCTTTGGCCTCAGACACCCCTGCGCCACTGGCCGCCCACACCCCATTCCTGTCTGGAAGGCTCGCCTGCCGTCATCCCGCACATCCGACAGCTCTCCCTTCAGGGTCACCTCCTCCTTGGACAAAGCACATGTGACCCCTTGTCAGGTTTCTAGGCTGGGTGCTCCCCCAGAGTTTGGCTCCTGACCCCACCAAGCATGCATGGTGGCAATGCACCCACTTGATACTGATCAGTGATGTCACTTCCACCTCCCTCCCTCCATGAGCGCAAACCTCCAGTTAACACAGCTGGGTCAGCCCAGGGTCCTCGGTGTCCCCAGAGCCTGCCATGCCTGGTGCTGGGCAAATACTCAATAAGCACTCAAAAGCAGGCCGGGCCCAGTGGCTCACACCTGTGACCTCAGCACGTTGGGAAGCTGAGGCAGGGAGGATGGCTTAAGCCTAGAAGTTCAAGACCAGCCTGGGCAACATAGCAAGACCCCTGTCTCTACTTTTAAAAAATTAAATTAAATTAACATCCATGAATGAATTAATGAAGAAACAAACTTTGGGTGAGCCACTGCCCTGCTCTGGGTGACTCGTTTTTGTTTTTGTTTTTGTTTTCAGTTTTGTGAAACAGTGACAGTGTTAAAAATTAGACATGGAGGCTGGGCATGGTGGCTCATACCTGTAATCCCAGCACTTTGGGAGGCCGAGGTGGGCAGATCACTTGAGGTCAGGAGTTTGAGACCAACCTGGCCAACATGGTGAAACCCCATCTCTACTAAAAATACAAAAATCAGCCAGGTGTGGTGGTGCATGTCTATAGTCCCAGCTATTCAGGAGGCTGAGGCGGGAGAATCGCTTGAACCTGGAAGGTGAAGGTTGCAGTGAGCTGAGAGCTCACCACTGCACTCCAATCTAGGCAACAGAGACCCTGTCTCAGAAAAAAATAAATAAAAGGATTGCAAATGGGGTTGCTGGGGACATGTGCCCCTGCTAAGCTCCCAGTGTGCCCCTCCCTTCCTGGCTTGGTAGGAGATTCTGCTCTCACCTCTGCAGGCGACTACTGCTCACTGCAATTCAGTCACTAGTGCCTGCCCCTGACTGACCATTTTTGTTTGCCACCCCCCAGGCAGCTGGTATTTGTGATCACAGCCCTGTGATCAGAGCCTCAGGAAACACTTGTGCCTGAGGCAGAGCAATCCTTACTGCCTGCAAGGAACCAGACAAGGCTGTGCTGATGGAAAATTGGCTGTAGATAGTTACATGGGCAAGAATCAGAGTTCAAGTCTAGGGACCCCTGGTTTTTAGACAGAGGACGTCAAGGCAGAGGATGTCAAGGCTGAAGTGAGGTATTATGATCCCCCATCATGACAACCGGGGGGCCTTGTGAAATTTAGCACAGGGTCCTCCCAACTCCAGTTGGCCACAGCCTGCCATGGAAGCCAAGTGCCTCTGGGCACTCCAAATATCGCTGCATCTGGGGAAGCGGAAGACAGGGTGGCCACGCAGTGCAACAGGGTAGTGGGGATGCCTGTCACATCTCGGATGCAGAGGCAGCCCCTGAACATGGGGATGTCCTGTAACTCTTGCCCCACAGCCCAGGCCATCTCCTTGGAGCCAGCACAGCCTTTTTTTTTTTTTTTTTTTTAACCTGCCAATCTGCTCAAACACCCAGTTGGAACAGGAATGCCTCGTGGCACTGGCTTTAGGAGTTTAATTTAGACGGTTTGCCGTTTCTAGCAGCAGAGCACCTGTTCAGACTCTACGTCTATGCATCCATGAATGGTGCAGCTGCCAAAAGAACCAAAGCTAAATGTTGGCAGGATCACAGCAGGTGTGGAGTGGAGGTCACTGGGAATTCCCTGGAAACTCAGTCGTTACCCACTCAACTGGAAGGCTGTGCATGGCTTTGTCCTCTGATGGTTACCCATGCCGGCCCCACCTCTCCATTTCCAATTTTCTTTTCTTTGTTTGTTTGTTTGTTTAGAGACGGAGTCTGGTTCTGTCGCCCAGGCTGGAGTGCAGTGGCACAATCTCAGCTCACTACAACCTCTGCCTCCTGGGTGCAAACGATTCTCCCGCTGCAGCCTCCTGAGTAGCTGGGATTACAGGTGCACCCCACCATGCTCGGCTAGTTTTTGTATTTTTAGTAGAGACAGGGTTTCACCATGTCCCCAGGCTGGTCTCGAACTCCTGACCTCAGGCGATCTGCCCACCTCGGCCTCCCAAAGTGCTGGGATTATAGGCATGAGCCGCCACGCCCAGTCCATTTCCAATTTTCCATCCAGCGGTGGCAAAACAAGCTTGGATGGGCCCCGGTGCTCTGCTGGAACCAGGACCCTCACCCAGCTGCCTCCAGCTAGGCCTGCCCACTCCTGCTGACCTCCTACATGCATAGAACAGGGCTTCTCTCTCTTCAAGCCTGAAGCTGTGATGCCCACAAGGCCTGGGATCCACGCACACCCCCTGAAGCTGGAACACCAGGCATGGGCGAGTCCTGGGTGACTGGATCTTGTTGGGATGGATGAAAGGGCAGCTTCTGCAGGCAGGACCCATCCTCAGTGGACTGGATCATCTTCAGCATTCTCATTCTCGGCCCCATTCTCTGGGAACAGGGAAAGAGGTTCCTGTCTGAATCTTCAGTGTGGCCTATGCACTGGTGGCCCCTTCCTGCTTGGTCACTGTGCCAGGCGAGCCCACAATGAGCTGAGATGGTGACGTGGGACAAGTGGCTCTCTGCAGCTACCTTCAGCACCACCCTGCCTGGGAGGCCAGGGGTCAGGGGAGTGGGTGTGAAGGGGTTGGAGCACACAGGCAGAGGTGGCTGGGGTCTTCACTGTGTTGGGGAGGGCCTCATCGCCTTGAGACTCTGCAGTGTCTCCTCAGAGGCCTTGTCGGGAAGCAGCACCTCCACAGTGTAGCTGAGCTTCTTGGCATGCATCCGGCTGTAGGTGTTGTCGAAGCGCAGGACATCTGTGGTGATGGAGAGGTGATCAGGGAGCATGAACCCTGTATATCTGCAGGAAGAGCCAGCCCTGCACGGCTGCATCCCTGGAACCCTTGGGAATGAGCTATCCAGGACAGTGGGTGAGCCTGAGGGTCAGACGCCTGTGCCCAGCCCTAAGCCTGTTGCTCACTTCCATCTCCATGGTAGCTTGTGCTACATGGAGGAATCATGATGGTCACCAGCACACAGAACAGCACACAGCCAGGGAGCAGGCGGCCTGGGAACAGGATCTCGAGTTCCACCTGCAGGGAGGAGCTGTGGCCCACGGACACAGTATGCCCGTACTGCGTCCTCGCCTGGTTGCGGTTGCACAGGTAGCTCTTGGGTCTCTCCATGCACCATGCATTCCATCACACATTACACCTCCCTGAATCCTCAAAGCAGCCCCATGCAGAAGGCAATGTCATCCTCATTTTACGGATGAGAAAACTGAGGCTTAGAGAGGTGATATGATCTTTTAGCGGTCACAGAGCAAGGGAGGGGAGGTACTGGGATTCCTTTATCCCAATGTCCCAACCCAGGGAGGAGCCCTGCTACCCCAGGAGGAATGGGCTGGGCTACGTAAGCCACTTTTCCGTCTTGCAGAAGGCGTATCCTTCAATGCCAAGGTCCACATCAACTCAGGTGTGATGAGTCACACAGACTTTTCTGTCTCTACTCTCCTAATGTTCCCTTTGCACAGAATGAAACAAGCTAATGTGTTGACTTAAGCATAAGCCACACCCTTCTCCTCCATAGGAAATCAACCTTGGGTTCCCCTTCTCCTAGCTCAGTTCCCAATAGACGTGGTGGCCCTGAGCAATGCTGCTTCTGGTAAAGCTGACTGAGCTGCATCTGGCCTGGAAGGCCTGGGGGTGAAGGATAAACACCTGGAGGAAGTCACCTCTTTGGGACTCCTAGAGTGGGGTGGTTCATGCAACTGGGTGGTCCCCTTGCCAAGACCCCTGATTCTAAGTCCATGGCCTCTTACTTACCTGTCTCTTAGTCCAGTGACCCCGGTATAGGCGCTTCTCAGGAGCTGAGCCCAAGGCCCTAGGTTCTGAACACCAGCTCTTCCCCCACAATGAGTCTCTGCCCTCATTCCCACAGGTAGGGGCCACTCATCCGATCCATGGCCCCAAAGTCAGCTCCCCTGGAGTTTATAGAGATCCCCCCACCCTCCTGAGAGCTGGAAAGAGAGGGCAAGCAGAGGGTAGACTGGCAGGGAAAACAATTCCAGTAAACCCTGCAGCTCTTACAGACGCCAGCCTGGAGGCAGGTGAGGCTCCCATCTTCAGGCACCAGGTGGGCGTTGTAGCGCTGGCTGGGCAGCACCTCCGTCATCTCCCTAGTCTTCTGCCGCTCCCCTATCTTGGTCTTCAGGAAAACCCCAAAGCCGACGTCCCCGCCATCCGATGCGAACTGCCACCTGCAGTGGACAGAGCCCCACTGGCGACCCCCTGCCTGGGCTCCAGGCCCCTCCCAGCTGTTCCCAGGTGTGGAGTGGCTGTGATCCCTACCTGAGCACACAGCCTGGGAACAGGATCTCGTTCTCCACCTGCAGGGAGGAGCCGCGGCCCACGGACACCGTGTGCTCATACTGCAGCCTCACCTGATTGCACAGGTAGAAGCTCCTGGGCACCTCACCCCCATAGTTGATCTGTGGGTGAAGGGGGTGTGTGGGCACTAGATCACAGCTTCTCCCCTCCTTTCCCATCCTCTGGGCACCCTGTACCTTGGTCAGGCACTTGGGGTTGCCATCGGGTTCAGTCATGGTCCTTCCAAACTCCACGGGCAGCTGGTCGGGGCTGATGAATTTTGTCAGCTCCTGCTTCCAGTTGTCTGTGTGGGAGCAAGAGAGGGACTCCAAGGGGACTCAGGAGACTCAACAGAGGGCAAAAGGGGGCTGAGCCTGGTGAGGGGACCCGATACATCCTGGGTGTGCTCCCCTGGGCGCCTACTCCTAACCGTACCAAAGACCTTTATGTGGCTCCCAGTTCATGGTCTAGGACCCAAGGCATTGCCTGTGTGTGTGGAGGCTCACCAGGGGCAGTGCCCGAGTAGAGGACGAGCCAGGGAGAAGCAGGGTCTTTAGCGTCGACCTCTGCTTCCCAGGCAGACGGACACAACCAGGGGGCCAAGCCGCTCACCTCCCAGAATCACAATCTTCCTGCGTGTCTCCTCACTCATGAACGACTTGACCAAGTTGAAGGCCACGGGGAACAGTTTGGGGGCTGAAACACATGTAAATCTCTTGAGAAGCTGGACCAGAGAGGACATGGGGATACAGAGCCACAGTCAAGAGCAGGTACTGGACAGGAGTTGGACAGATATGGATTCTGCCACTCTCTGCTGTGTGACCTTCAGCAAGTTACGCACCATCTCTAAGTCTTAGTGCAGTTAACTGGAAAATGAAGGTGAAATAATGTATGTATAACACCTGGCACAGTTGCTGGCTTTCAATAAGTGGCTCATGCCCGAAATCCCAGCACTTTGGGAGGCAGAGGCAGGCAGACCACTTGAAGCCAGGAGTTCGAGACCAGCCTGGCCAACATGGTGAAACCCTGTCTCTACTAAAAATGCAAAAGCTAGCTGGACGTAGTGGTGCATGCTTGTAATCCCGGCTACTTGGGTGGCAGTGGCACAAGAATTGCATGAACCTGGGAGGCAGAGGTTGCAGTGAGCCAAGATCGTGCCACTGCACTACAGCCTGGGTGACAGAGTGAGGCTCCATCTCGAAAAAGAAAAAACAAATTAAAAAAATAAAAAGCAAATGGTTGTCTCCCCAACCCAGTTGTAAGGGGTTGAGCACAAGCTGGCTCTGGGGTCAGCAATATTGATTCCCCAACAGTATCTCTTCTTTTCCACACTCCGGGTTGTCTGGAATCTTCTTGGGTGTGACATTTACATTAGACCTCCTGTCCTGCCCTGAATTGCTCACACTCAAGTGAGCACTGTCTGTGGGCCAAGCTCTGTGCTCCATCTTCTCCACACACTGTTTCATTTAACCTCATAGTTATCTTTGGGGAGGGGGTTACTGTATCCTCATCTTACAGAATGGGAAGCTGAGGCTCAGTGAGGTTAAGCAGACTTGGATAAAATCATAGAGCTAGTTAGATTTGAATCAGATCCTCTGACTCTGGAACACATGACATCACCAGGGCAGCCAGTGACCATTCCTGCTCAAAGTGTGTCCATCCATTAGTGTGGTCCATGGACTATCGGTTTCCAGCCCATACTGACATAAGTAAGTAACAGTAAACATTCAGAAACTTATAACTTGACATTGTTGCAACATACCAGTGCATGATTTTGTATATTACAAAAATATGAACCTGTGAAGGATTGAAACTAGAAAATAACGCCAGAGGCCAGGTGCGGTGGCTCACTCCTGTAATCCCAGCACTGTGGGAGGCTGAAGTGGCTGGCTGACCTGAGATCAGGAGTTTGAAACCAGCCTGGCCAACATGGGGAAACCCCATCTCTACTAAAAATACAAAAATCAGCCAGGCATGATGGCATGCACCTGTAATCCCAGCTACTAGGGAGGCTGAGGCAGGAGAATCGCTTGAACCCAGGAGGCGGAGGTTGCAGTGAGCAGAGATCGTGACACTGCACTCCAGTCTGGGTGACAGAGTGAGACTCCATCTCAATAAATAACTAACCAGAAACCAACCACACAAAACCTGGTTCCTCACAAAGGATGGTTGAAGAAGCCTTTAACTCCACGGCTTACCTATTGTACCCCCCGATTCCTGCTTCTCCCTCCCCAGGAGGTCATCCTGGTCATGGGCTTACCTCGAATAATAATTAAATTCTTCAAAGTCTCAGGATAATTTGCTTCCAGGATGCTAAAAAACTGTGGAGTCAAGATGAGTCTGGTTGGGGCTCTGTTCCATCACCTCCCGCCCATGGGTTTCTGTGGTCTCTGATGCTGCTGAGACAAGAGGCCCATCCCTGGCCCATCCTACCTTCCCCACAAGCATGTGCCTCCTCCTCTCTATTATTCTTTTTTTGTTTGTTGATCTGTTCTCGAGACAGGGTCTTGCTCTGTCGCCCAAGGTGGAGTATAGTGGCACAATCACAGCTCACTGCAACCTTGAACTCCTGGGTTCAAGAGATCCTCCCACCTCAGCCACCCAAGCATCTAGGACTACAGGCACGTGCCACTGCACTGGGCTAATGTAAAAAAAAAAATAATAATAATAATTATTATTATTGGTAGAGATGATATCTCACTGTGTTGCTCAGGCTGATCTTGAACTCCCGGGCTCAAGCGATCCTCCCGCCTTGGCCTCCTAAAGTGCTGGGACGACAGGTGTGAGCCATCATGCCTGGCCTTTGTGTTACTCTTGCTCCTCTTTCTCCTTGGAGGGTGGACTCTAGGCCAGCATCATTGGCTGCTCTGTGGAGCCCCTGCAGGGCATACCCACTCCTCTATCTCACTGGATTCTCACAGCAGTTCACAGCTAGGGCTCACAGCTGGGAGCCGCTGCCCACACCAGCCCCAAACCAGCCGCCCACCTTACCTGCTGGTAGACCTCCACAGCTGGCTTCCACAGGTGCTTCAGGCTCAGCCCCTCCATGTCAAACACCATCAGCGCCATCTCGATCTTCCTGCCCAGCTGCTTGGGACAGCGTCAGCATATAGATCAGACAACAGCTCCAGCCAGGAGATCCTGGCCAGAGAGACTTGGGCACCACTCCCCACCTTCCTGCCATCCCCCCCTCTGGCAGCCCATAGTGTTTTCCAGACAGATGAAAAACACCTCACCTTCACGGGTGGGTAAGGGTGGGAGAAGCCCACATTCCACCAGAGCCCTGAGTGCTGAGGGCTGGGGAGGGGGAAGGTGCCACCCCTCTCTGGTCCTGGTGCCACCCTATAGACAGATGAGGCCCAGCTCCACCCCAGCTGCTCACCTTCTGAGTCTGCAGCTCACACTCATGCAAAAGCAGCTCACAGACCTTGATGCGCTTCCGGATCAAATCCTGCTTGGAGGCCGACAGCAGGAGACCCTTGGGGTCGAGGGACCCGATGATGTAGAAGTACACAGGGGAGCCTTCGTAGTCGTAGCCACAAAGACCACCCGAGTCATACAGCTGGATGACCTGGAGGTGTGGGTAACGTACTGACTCTATCCAGCTCACTAGGCTGGGTCCCTACTCCATCAGGCGGCTGGATGTGGTGGGTGGGAGATGAGGTCAGTGGTGGGGGGCCTCAGATGGCCTGGGGGATGCTGCTCAAGGCTCACCTCGGGGGGCTGCCACGTGACGATGTTGTCCAGGTCTTGTTGCTTCCGGAACTCCATGTGCTGCAGGGACACAGCAGCAGCTATAGGATTCTGAAGGAACCTGGGGACACCAGGCTAGGTCCCTCTGCCCACAGCCACCAAGATCCCGCCAGAGCATATCCAGGCTCTCCGGGTTTGGGGACAGGAGGTGGGCTGGTGGGACTTGGGTCTGATGCAGAAAGGGATCGGGGGAGGAAGAAAGAAGGAACAGGAGAATGGGACAGGGCCAGAGTCTCTACCCTTTTGCCGCGAATCCCTGGGTCACGGTGCATGGAAGGCAGGACAGTAGGGATCAGAGATCCTTACCCTCCGGAGCATGTCCTCAGATTTCTGCAGGTCAAAGTTTCGAGCTGCAAGAACAAGAGGAGGTAAGTAGAAGCTCAAGGTTAGATCTAGAAAGAGCCGTTCCCTAAAATCTCATGAGGAAATAGCTAAGGTGTCCCCAGCCTTTTCCTGACACCCCAAGAATACACTGAACATCTAGAAATAGCTGTTTGTTTGTTTGTTTTTTGAGACAGGGTCTTGGCTCTGTTGCCCAGGCCAGAGTGCAGTGATGTGATCATAGCTTACTGTGGCCTTTGGCCCAGGTGATCCTCCTACCCCAGCCTTCTGAGTAGCTGAGACTACAGGGCCACACCACCACGCCTGGCTAATTTTTTTTAGATTTCTTTTTTTTGTAGAGATAGGGATCTTGCTATGTTGCCCAGGCTGGTCTTGAACTCCTGGCCTCAAGCAGTCCTCCTGCCTCAGCTTCCCAAAGTGTTGGGATTACAGGCGCGAGCCTCTGTGCCCGACCTAGAAATGTTTTTTTAACAAGTTAAGGATCTTTAATCATCTAGAAGACTGGAGAGCCCTTGATTTCAGTTTCCAGTCCTCCTACAACCTTCTGGAGGCCAGTCTAGCCTGTATTTGATGTCCCTCAGGAAGCAGAGATCCCCCCGCCACCTGCACAGTGTTAGGGGTGGTGGGGAGCATGGGGTTTGGATTCACACAGACTGGGGCTTAAAGTCTAGTGTTGCCCTATTATTTCCTGTGCAACCTTGAGCAAGTCATTTACCTTCTCTGAGCCTTAGTTTTTTAAATCAGTTAAATGAGAACACTATCTGTTTCAGTTATTCAAAGAACAACATGAGATAATGTATAGAAAGTGCTTGGCCCAGTACCTGGCTCACAGTAGGTTCTCAATAAACAGTAGCTCTCATGATTACCTATTTTGAAGAAATAGACACACTGTAATTGAAAACGTGATGATCTATTTTAGAAATGCTTTGACTGTTGCTCTCTGAGACCCCTGGCTCACTGAGGAATTTGTCTACTCGCGGAGCTGAAACAATATGCAAGGTCAGAGATTTTCAGATGGAAGGGATCTCAGATGCTATCCAGGCCTCCTCTGCTCTGACCATGAACCAGTTCCAGAAATCACTCCCAGCTGGGCGTGGTGGCTCACGCCTGTAATTCCAACACTTTGGGAGACCAAGGCGGGCAGATCACCTGAGGTCAGGAGTTCGAGACCAGCCTGGCCAACATGGTGAAACCCCGTCTCTACTAAAAATACAAAAATTAGCCGAGCATGGTGGCAGGCGCCTGTAATCCCAGCTACTCAGGAGGCTGAGGTAGGGAGAATCGCTTGAACCCGGGAGGCAAAGTTTGCAGTGAGTTGAGATCGTGACATTGCACTCCAGCCTGGGGGACAAGAGCAAGACTTTGTCTCAAACAACAACAACAACAACAAAACCCACAAAACTTAGCCAGTCGTGGTGGTGCACACCTGTAGTCCCAGCTACTCGGAAGGCTGAGGCACGAGAATCACTTGAAACCAGGAGGAGGGGGCTGCAGTAAGCCAAGGTCGCACCACTGCACTCCAGCCTGGGCGACAGAGTGGGACCTTGTCTTAAAAAAAGAAAAAAAAAAAAAAGAAAGAAAGAAAGAACCTCCAATGCAACAGCTCAGCCTTGATTATCTCCCATGATGGGGAGTTCATTACCACAGAAGGCATT